ATATTTTTTAAGCAACCCATATCTATTGAGCGCTTACTGTATGAAAGGTCAGGGCCTGGCCTCAGGGGAGAAGAGGCAGGACTCAGATGTGTGAAAGCAAACCTCCTCAGCCCCATGACTGGCAGGTGCTCAGGAAAACAATCCCACAGGCTGTAAAGGTTTGTTGTCCATTCATGCAGCCAGGGATGTTGAACCCAGGCCTGTGGTAATGTCTCAGGACCAAGTCCACAGGCATCCTTTTCCCTCCGTGTAACTTAGCGGAATGTTCAGAATGTCTGCAGGCTTGCTGCTGAGCGCTTTCTGCCCTAACAGAACCCTGGCGAGGCCTTCCAGGGCTTGCTCAGGGCCTCTGTGGGTCTCTCGCCAACTGGGGAGGCGGGAAGAAATGAGTTACCAGCACACCATGAGATCTGGGCACTCCCCGCTGTGCGCTGGAGGTGGAAATAAAGAGGAATGTGCCAGGTGAAGTACAGCAGTGACCAGACTCAACCCCCAGCCGCTTCCTTCGGAGCCGGAGAGGATTGCATAGGCAGGAGAATCAGAGTCCTGACCTGCTGTTTCCTCCTTGGGAATGGATTTGACTCCCAAGAATGCTGCTGAAAAGGTGCAGCAGGAAGAAAGGAAGTTAGACTTCATTGAGAACTTCCTTCCCAGAAAGCCTGAAGACTTGGCAGCTCTTGCCTTCTCTCAGTTTGCATCTGTCTTCTTTATCATCATCAGTACTTCTTCCTGTCAGTCTCTTGAACCGTGAGCATGTCTTCCCACCGTTGTTGCCCGGACCAATTCACCTAAGTCAACACCCTGTTTCCTGAACCACTTCTGTGACCTCTCTGGCCCCCTCTGTAGTCCATTTTGTGCACTGCAACTTGTGTGAGTCTTTAAAAAGGTAAATTGCATGTCACTTTCTAGTGTCCTAGGAGCCCTGCTCTTGTCTGGTTAGGAGTTGGGCTACTAACCGTAAGGTCAGTGGTTCAAAACCGCCAGCCACCCTGAGGGAGAATGGAGAAGCGCCCCACTCCTGTAAAGAGTTATAGTCTTAGACCTACAGGGGCATGTCTGCCCTGTCCTATGGGGTTGCTATAGTCAGGATCAACTCAGTGGGTTTGTTTTGTTTTGTTGAAAGAGTTACAAAAGCATAAAGCCTCATCTTTCTCCTGCAGAGCAGCTGCTGAGTTTTGAACCACTGACACTTGTGGCTAGTAGTTTGTGCTTATCCCACAATGCCACCAGAGTTCCTCAGCTGTAACCCTCACTCACTCACTGCCCTTGTGTTAGTCCGGGAGGACTAGAGAAACATTCATAGACACTCATATGCGTATAAGAAAGAGTTTTATATAAAAGAGCAATTGTATATTGAGAAAACTTCCCAGCCCAGTCCAGATCAAGTCCATAAGTCCAATATTAGCCCACCTGTCCGATACCAGTCTATAAAGTTCTCTTCAGATTCATTCAACACATGCAGTGATGCCGGATGCCAGAAGATCACAGGCCAGTGGGTGGAAAGTCTTGTGAATCCAGTGGCAGTGGAAGTATCTCAGTGTTGGCATGGGTTTCCACATGGCTTCTCCAGCTCTAGGGCTCTGGCTCCATCAACGTAGCTCCATGTGGCCTGTCAACAGGAATGTCTCACAGAGAAAGAGTGTGTATCCCATCTCCAGGGAGGAAGACAGGAGTTCCCAGAATCCTCAGAAGAAGGCCATGCCCACACAGAGGTCTCATTGGCTATCACCTGATTGACAGGCTAGACTCCACCCATTCACTCAAGTTGACAGATTATGTAACTGCTACAGCCAGTGAGTCATTTCTGACTCATAATAACCCTAGAGGGTAGACTAGAGTCACCCCAGTGGGTTTCCAAGGGTGTACAGCTTTAGGGGAGCAGAAAGCTTCATCTTTCTCCTGTGGAGCAGCTGGTGGTTTCAAACAGTTGGGCTTGGGGTTTAGCAGCCCAATGCCTAGTCCACTGTGCCACGAGGGCGCCTATGAGCTACACGAGCACCGTCCAGATAGATCATACTGCCTACCTGGGGGCCACGGTGGGGACCAATGTGCCATTTAAATCCTCCGATAGTTATTCCTGGGAAGCATTGTTGTTAGGGGCCCTGGGTCTATCCTGACTCCTGGGGACCTATAGAACACAGTAGAGCTGCCCCGTAGGGTTCCTACAGGGCCATCTTTGCAGAAGCAGTTCGCCTACCCTTTTCTTCCACGGAGCCCGCTGGTGGGCTTGAGCCCCTGGTCTGCCCCTAGCAGCTTGGCGCTTCACCATGGTGCTACCAAGTGCCCTTTCCTAGAAGAAGGGACTGTGATGGTGCTCCGCCCTGTAGATGGGAAAGCTGAGGTGCCAAGTCCCACATGAACTTCATCACTGTGTTCTACCTGTCCCAGCAAATACTGAGGAAAATACCAAGCCATGTGAAGTGTGCAGCAACCCAGTTCCCTCCCGTCACCCCGGACAGGGCATGAGAGGCAGCAGGGGATGGTATACAGGGTCTCAGAGCACAGCGAACCCCCAGTACCAGTCCCTGGGAGCGGGGGTGACATCCTTAATCACCCCATGTATTCAGCCAGCCGACCCGGAGCCGGTTCCTCCCTACCTCCTTGGGACCAGGGAGAGGCCCCGTGACCCCCAGAGCTGCCCCCCTCCCTGTTTATCTAACTTCCCTGACCCGGCGAGTGCCGGTCGCCTCTGTATTCCCATCTAAAAAACCAGGACACAATAGGAAGCGTTTCCTTGAACTTATTAAAAAATCCAGACTTGTAAATTAATTTGTTCGTGTTGTACAAAGGCAGTGCAGATGGACTCATTAGCATGCACACAACAAATAATTATAGATGAATTTTTAGCTGGCCCGCCTAATGCGCTTGCTGGGTTAATTATGTCAATGTATAATTACATCAGCCCGGGGAGACATAATGGCATACCCCGCTGAGCAGGCCCAGCCTAATGACGGGCATGGGGGAGTGCTGACGGAGGAAAGCATACTGGTGCACCTGCTTACCTCGGCACAAACGCCTGTGGTCCAAGCCACCCATCACCTAGAGTCTAGGTCCTAGACCAGCGATTCTCAATGTGTGGGTCTAGACCCCTTTGGGGGTCGAATGACCCTTTCACAGGGTCACCCAATTCATAACAGTAGCAAAATGACAGTGATTAAATGGCAACGAAAATAATTTTATGGTTGGGGGTCACCACAACATGAGGAACTGTATTAAAGGGTCCCAGTGTTAGGAAGGTTGAAAACCACTGTCCTAGACAAACAGGTAGGAAAAGAGAAATGAGAAAGCCAGGTGGCCTTGTTCCCTCCAGACCTGAAGGCTCTGTGCGCAGGCACGGTCTCATTGTTCCCATCAGCTAATACTTCCCGGGTCTAACTGTAGGCCAGACTTCGGGCTTAGTACAGGGTCCAATGGGGAGCCGACTCAGATGCCCAGCCCCCAGGGCTCCCAGTGGGGTTGCAGACCAGTAGGTGTACTTGTAAATAAGTTTAAGTGATAAGAGAAGGATGCTGGAAAGGGAAGGTGCAGGCAGCGGAGGGAGCTCAAGTCGGAGACTGGCCAGTCCAGAAAGGCTTTCTGGAAGAGGTGCAGTAGAGAGTCAATATGAAAGAGGAGGAAGCAGTAACTCGCTGGCAGGAACCAGAAAGGAAAGGTTGTTCCAGGTTGAGGCTCCTGCCTGCCCCAGGGATCTGAGAGGGTTGGGTTCTTGGCTGATCCTGCAAGAAGGCCAGTGGGCCTGGGGTTCAGAGAGTTAGGGGCAACAAGGGCTCTCGTTCATTCTGAGCTCACCAGGTGCATGCCCAACACTTAAGTGGACCCGATTCTGGCAGGACACTTGCCTAGGGCAGGTACAGGTGACACCTGATGATTCCATGGCCAGGGGCAATGTCTCAGGTGGCAAAACCTCAGAGGAAGAGGGGCCTGACAACCAGCACAGTTGGAGACTGGCTTGGATCACCCATCTTCACAGTTCAGGGGATGGAGATCCTCATGGAAGCCTGTGGTCACTGTTTGTACAGAGAAGCCCAGAGAGGCCGATTCCTCCCTGTGGTCACATAGCAGTCCCAAGAATCAAGACTGGATTAGAGTCCCTCCTCTGTGCCTGACCCCAGAGACCCTCCCCTGAACCTGCTGCCTTCGGCCTGGAGGGGCACCCAGATCCGAGGCAACTGCATTGTAGACCGGGCAGTGGAGAAGACCAAGGTGCCCTCACTTCCCCGGTCCCATGCCATCTCCTGCAGCCCCTGTGGGTGCACGTTCACAGCACTGGGGCAGGAAGCCTTTGTGGGTCAGTGTTCCGGCTCAGTCCTCCAACACGCTGCCTGGCCTCCATGAGGATCTTCCATCCCCTCAACTGTGAAGATGGGTGATCCAAGCCGGTCTCCAACTGTGCTGGTTGTCAGGCCCCTCCTCCTCTGAGGTTTTGTCACCTGAGACATTGCCCCCGGCCATGGAATCATCAGGTGTCACCTGTACCTGCCCTAAGCAAGTGTCCTGCCAGAATCGGGGCAGAGCTCGAGCTCCAGCCTGGGAGAGGGTTGGGCGCGGAGGGAGACCCCAGGCTGCCTGAGAGACCTGCAGAGCTCACCCCCAGTGCAGCTGGGTAATCGGGAGGCAGCCAACATGGCAGGGTGTGTTTCACACCCCAGAAGAGCCACCATTTCGTTGTCACCATGTGTCACCGACAGGCGTGCTAGTCTGGTCCATGGTGAGCCAGGCACTGAGTCAGGCAATGGCAAGAATGTTTGAGGACAGTCCTCCTGTGGCCGCCGTAGACAGCTTCCTCAAAGGGCCGTGCCCTAGCAGACCCAAGCAGCTTCCTTTGCCAGCACCCCAGGGGGATTTGAACCTTTCTGTGAGCTGAGCTTGTTCTCTGTCTACACCACCCAGAAAAGGCAGGTCTTGCCAGCATTCCTGTTATTCTTGGCTGGGCAGAATGGCCCCCATGGAGGGACCCAGCAGGCCCTGCAGCCTCACCACCGCCCTCTCCTCCCCTGCAGACCACGTGCCTGTGTGTGAGGCGGCTCGCAGCCTGGACGACAGACTGCAGGCCCCAGGCTTTGATCCCAGTGGGCAGCCCCGGCGAGACCCGCACACTTCCTGGAAGAGACACCCTGAGCTCCTCTGCCCCAAAGGTACTGACTTAGGAGCCCGGGGCTGGGCTGGGGCCTCTCCCATAGACCAATGGGCTGTGGGTCTGTGGCCACTAGGGGTGGGGCGGGTGGCCAGGCATTGACTTTATCCCGAGGTTGGTCAGGGGTTAAAGAAATACTGCTACTGACCCAGATGAACCCCCAAATCTCAGGGCCTTAATAGAGTTGAAGAGTGGGGAGGTTACAGACTGCTCCATGCAGTCACTCAGGGACCCAGGCTACAGAGGTCCTTCCATCCACAACACAAGGATGCCTGGCATTACCACGAATGTTAACCACCAGTCAACAGGAAGAGAAAGTAGAGGGCCGTGTGTGTGTGTGTGTGTGTGTGTGTGTGTGTGTGTGTGCACATGCGCGCAGGGATGGGGGGCCAAATATAGAGTCCAGGGCTAGAAAGGCACATGTCACTCTCACCCATTGGCCACATCCAGCTGCAGGGCATGCTGGGAAATGCAGTTTCCCTGTGTTCCCAAGAGGAGGTGGGCAGTGAGTAGGTACATAGCAGGGTCTCTGTGAGTCAGAATCAGCTCTGTGGCAATTGTGTGGTAACTGGTGTCAGATTCCAGACATTGTCCCTTGCCAGCCCTCCAAGTCCAACTTACAGCCCCCGCCCCCCACCGCGCGAGGTCTCCTGAGATGCATGCACACAAGTAACACCAATGCAGAAACCGCCTGCCTGAACGTCTCCGATCGGGCAAACCCTGTACATGTGTACCTTGCTCTCTCTCAGCATCACCCTTACAAGGCCCCATCTCACAGATGGGGGAACTGAGTCAGCACCAGCAGGGCCATAGACAAAGAGCTCCTGACCTCAAGGTCACCCGTCATACTGGTCTCACTTCATCTTCCTGTCAATATCATGACCCCCACTCCTGGAATCTGCCCAGCACCTGAGTGAAGGATGGTTCAACCCCCTTCAGCCCTCAGAGGTGCCCTCCGTGAACTTCCCACCTTAGCCCCAACCCTCCCATGCCAGGTGCCAGTGGGCTTTAATATCAGGCTTTAACAGAGGTTAAAGGTGACCCCTCAGTCCTCAGCACCTGCCCTCCTGCATCGCCATAGGCAGAACCCAGGCTCTGGCCCCTCCATTCCCCAGCTCTTCCTGCCTGCCCCTCCCAGACCTCCCGGAGAAAGATCAGGGGCCACCCATTCCCTCCACCATGAGCTCAGGGCCACTGTGCCTGGGCCCCACAGTGTGGACTCCGCCCACTTGGCCCATCAGAACCCTGGCCATCCCAGCATCACACTGCCCACTGACGAGTCCACCAACAGAAGCTGGATCAACAAAACAGATGGACAGGTGCCCTGCAGCAGGCCCCTGGGGCCTGCTGTCTTGGGCTCAGCCTGGGCAGTGTGCTGCTACATCGGGAAGCCAGGCACAGGGCAAAGCTTGTCTGACCCCCTCCCGTGGTAGATCCTCAGAGATAGAGAGCAGGCTCACGGTGGCCAGGGGTAGGGCAGGGGATGGAGTGCGACTGCTGATGGACACAAGTTTCCTTTTAGGGGGACAGAAACACTCTGGGACGAGGCAAAGGTGGCAGTTGCAATACTCGATGCCACTGAATGATACATTTCAGATGTCCGAAGTGGTAACTCTCAAGTTATGTGTGCTTTTTTCACAATTAAATGACGAAAACAAGCAGCCAAGTGGAGGCAGCAGGACTGGGTCTGGGGGCAGAGGAAGCCTCTGGGGATCGGCCCCAGGTCCCACTGCTGCACTGTCCAGCCATACCCCTGGGCCGTGGAGCCTCCCAGCAGGCTGCTCTTCCCTCTTTCCTCCCACAGAGCAGCGAGAGGGGACCCCAGCCGGGCCCACACTGACTGAGGGCAGCCGCCTCCCCGGCCTGCCTGGCAAAGCCCTCCTGACAGAAACCTTGCTGCAGAGAAATGAGACGGAGAAACAAAAGTGAGTGAGGGGGCCAAGTCGACTGCCCAAGCCGATGCAGACACAGGTTGGGGTGGGGGTAGGGAGAGACGGACCAGGCTTGTGCCGCCAGTCCTGGACAGGTCATGACACCCTTCAACCTCAGTGTCCCCATCTGGAAAGCAGGCTAATGTGGGCATCCACACCTCCCTGCTGTGAGAAAGAAATAAGACAGGACCTATGTGTGCATAAGGAACCCTGGTGGCGGCGTAGTGGGTGACAGCTTGGCCTGCTAGCAGTTCAAACCCACCAGCTGCTCCAAGAAAGATGAGGCTGCTCCTTAAAGATGTAGAGCCTCTGAGAGGGGAGGAGGAAGGGAGGGGGAGGGGAAAAAAGGAAAATGAGCTGATTCCGGGAACCTAAGAGGAAAGCGAATTTTGGGAATAATGAGGGCAACAAATGTATAGATGTGCTTTACACAATTGATCTATGTATTGTGATGAATTGTATGAGCCCCAATAAATTGATTAAAAAAAAAAAGACATAGCGCCTCTGAACCCCGAGGAGCAATCCCACTCTGTCCTGCAGGGTGACTATGTGTTGGATGGACTCAGCAGCTAGGACCCAGTGGGTGCTCAGCTTCTAGCTGCCCTGACGCCTGGACATTGGCAGTCAAGCCTGGACAGCATCAGAACAGTCTGATGGGGCTGACCACATGGATCCCTTCGTTCATTTGCTTCTTACTGCTTTCATTCATGCCACGTATTTATGAAGCACCTCCTGTGTGCCAGGCCCTGCTCTAGGCTCAGGGGACCCAGCATCAAACAAAGCAGATAGCAGCCCTGCCCTCCTGGAGTTTCCTTTCTAATGAAGGTGACACACCTGAACACCAAGCATGAAACACGCATGTGGTGTGAGATGGTGACACAGTGGTGGAGAAAACACAGCAGGGCAGAGGGGCACAAGGTGGGTTGGGGGGTTGCTGCGTTTTGAAACAGGGCGTTGGAGAGACCTCCTCCAGAAGGCCCGTGAAGGCTGGAGGAAATGGGAGGATGAGTAGGCAGGACAAGGGCATTGCAGACACGGGACAACCAGGGTAAAGGTCCGAGGTGGGCACATGCCCTGTGTGTTGAGCAGCAAGGAGGAGCGTGGGGCAGGGACAGGAGCTGGGAGGTGAAGGGGGCACCTTTCTGGAAGCCAGGGTGCATGGCATAAACCACCTCTGGTCCTTTCTCTGCTGAGAAGCTTGAAGTACGTCCTGAGCCCCGGCGAAGGACTCCAAACTCCAGCCACCCATCCCAGAGGGGGACAGCAACTGACAATTCTGAAAAAAATTAACATGACATTCCCACTGAAGCAAGTCCCTTCAGAAACCCCATTTATGGAAGAGAAAATTGAGGCCCAACCAGATGAGGTGGCTTGCTGGACGTGCCTGAAAACTCCGAGGGCTGCCATGAGGCCACACGGCCAGCCCGGCCGGCCAGGGAAGCTGCGGGAGCAGCTTGTCAGAGCCTCACCAAGTTCAACCTCCTGTTAGCACACGACTCCACCTCACCGCTCCTCAGAGAATGGGAGAAAACATGTGACCCACGGCCACTCTGAGCAGCACTACACACACAGAGTGTGGGCCACTCAGATGTCGGTGATCCACCCACCATAAGGAGGGGTGCAGCTGGCACGCACTCCAGCCCAGCTGAGCCCCAAAAGCATGCTGTGGAGCAGAAAAGCCAGACACGGCAGGCCAAGGAGCAGGAGGGTCCGTGTCTATGAAAGGCCCAGGTCAGGGCACAGACACAGGAAGGAGAGGGGTAGGGTCAGGGGCGGAGACAAGGGGATTCGGAGAATGACCTAGTGGGGCCAGGGTTTCCCCTGGCTGTAGGTTACTTGACCACGCCAAGTGCCACCGCACCGCCCATTGTCACATGATTAGCTTTGTGTGACACAAACCACCTCCGGCAGGGCTGTCAAATACCTGGATTCCCCAGTTAATAAGAAGGTGGGGTCAAAATAAAAAAATAAATAAGAAGGTGGGGTCAGGATCGGGGCCCAGACCCGGGCATCCGGAGGTGATGTGAGTGGCCTTTCCCTCCACAGGGGCCTTCAAGAAGTTCAGATCACTCTGGCGGCCAGACTGGGGGAGGCCGAGGAGAAGATCAAGGTTCTGCATTCAGGTATGTAGCAGGGCTCGCCCGGCCCTCAATCAGCGCCCTGCCCGGCAGACCAGGAGGGCGACGTGAGGACTCAGCTTTGTTTTAGAACCAGAAGTCGAGGAAAGGAGTTAAGGAAGGGGGCAGAAAGGCCTACCTCACTCCGCAGGCGCGAGGCCACCAGTGCCCAGCAGCTGCATCACTGTGGAGAGAGGGTTCCATGTCGAATCTGCAAACTCAGTGTCTGCAGGGGCCGAACATCAGTGAACACTCACTTAGGTAGCCGGGTTAGGGAAGGCAATAGGGAGGGGTGGGGCCTAGGGCTAACCAGAGAGCCCTGACCTTGATGGCCACAGCTCAGAGCCAGCCAGGGAACTCTCTGTGGCTGGTCCCTTCAGCTTCACAATAGAAATCAGATACCTGGAATTTCACAGGAACCACCTGGCTTATTATGATATAAACATGTCTGTGGACAGCTTTGCTCCCTCTCCACCCCACCCCCACCCCATGTCAGGACCTCAGGGAAGTTGTACCTATGAGTGACTCAGTGTTGGGGGCTCAGGGCCCCAGGCCCTAGGGAGGACAGCATCCCCACCTCCACCCAGACACCTTGGCTTCACAGACTCAAAATATTCCGGTCTGCCTTCCTCACTGGCCTCTTCACCTGCCCACCAACTCGGTCCTCAGGGTGGGGGAGTGGGGGCAGTGGGGTGGGGGCTCACTAGCCTCCTGTCTTCCCCAGCATTAAAGGCCACGCAGACAGAGCTGCTGGAGCTGCGGCGGAAGTACGACGAGGAGGCCGCTTCCAAGTAAGTGAGCACCACACCGAGCGAGTGTCATCAGACCCCTGGCTCCCTCCGCTTCTGCTCCCCATCTTCTGCATCTGCACCCCGAGCCATAAGAGATATGCCAGGACCAGAGCTCTCCCTCACCCCAGCCCCTGCCACCCCATGGCTGAAGGGGGTGGCCTGGGCTCTTACTGGGCACACAGTAAATGCCATGATGAGAAGAACCAGGGGTCGGGGAGGGCCTAGCTGTGGAGGTGGCACCAGCCAAAAAAGGAGAAGTAGGTGGAGATGTGGAAGGCCAGGCAGGGGACACAGGAGCAGTCACAGTGGTGGTCATGCAATACCTCGTGGCTGTGGGTCCTCCCATGTCCCCTTGGGCCTCCTGGGTCCCTGCCACCTCTAGGCAGATGGGAGAGGGAGACAAACAAGGCCAGTCCCAGCCCCTCCCCACCACACTGGCCATCTTGAAGGAGCCCCTGGGAACAGGAGAGGGAGGCCAGGTGCTGCCCGCTGGAGGTGCCTCTCTGGGAGGGGGCCCCAACAGAGTGACCCCTGGGTGACAGGCCAAGCTGCCTGAGGGGCCAGTGCTGAGGCTCTACCCCATGCCTCGCCACCTGGGGTCTTCTCCCCTGCCTGGATTCTCTCCTGAAGGAAGCTCCTTAGCCCCATTTGCAGGCCCTTGACTCTGGCAGGGACTGAGATGTCTGGATGGGGGTGGCCCTGCAGCCGCCAGCAGCCCCTTCAGGCCTGGTCTCTGTGTCTCAGGGCAGACGAAGTGGGCCTGATCATGACCAACCTGGAGAAAGCCAATCAGGTGAGGCCACCTGGGGAGCCAAGGGGCTTGTTCTGCCCAGGGTGGGGAGGTCTCCCAAGGGGCCAGGGAAGGGCTCAGCATTTACTGACCTGTGTGTAAGGAGCCCTAGGGACACAGGGTTAAGCGCTTGGCAGCTAACCAGAAGGTCAGTACTTTGAACCCACCAACCAATCTGCAGGAGAAAGAGGTGACAGTCAGCTTCCATAATGATCGTGGCCTGGGAAGCGCTCTGGGGCAGTTCGAGTCTGCCCTGTGGGGTTGCTCTAAGTTGGGATGGGCCAACCTTGGCTTGGTTTTGCACGTGGGGTACGGGGACCCAGAGCTGCCCAGGGCTGGGAGAGCAATGGACAGGTGAGTGGCTCCTGGCCCATTCTGCAGTATCTGAGACTCATCTGTGAGGAAGGGGCATGGATCTGAGAGGCACAGGAGAGTGAATGGGGTTGGCATAGAGAGGGGGCAGTCCCCAGAGTCCTGCCCCTGGTGGGCCCTCGAGGCCTCCCTAGGTCACTCTCAAGCCAGCCCAGTGACAGAACCCTGTTAACTGGGGTGAGGGGATAGCAAGGGGAGGGCAAGCCAAAGGCTGCTTCTCTCACCTCCCGTCTCCCCTCTGGCCCCCTCCACCTTTCAAGAACTGCCAGGCACAGGAGACCTGGCCTTCCTCCCCGGCGTCTCAGCTGGGGTCATCACGCTCATAACCGCAGCGTCTACGTCCTGCTGGTCGATCTTCTGGGTCCATCCATCCAGCCTCTGATACCCACCCGACCTCTGCCCGCCCCAGTTGTGTCAGGAACAGAGCCAGGGCTGGAAGGGGCCCTTAGCAGGGGCCCACCATCCTGCCTGCCCTCCCCAGGGTCTGGTCTTTACAGCCAAGACTAAGGCCAGGCCCGCTCACCCACTAACCGTGCTCTCCCCGTCGTCCTCCCCAGCGAGCTGAGACTGCACAGCGGGAGGTGGAGAGTCTTCGGGAACAACTGGCCTCAGTCAACAGCTCCATCCGCCTGGCCTGCTGCTCCCCCCAGGGACCCAGCGGGGTAAGAGACCTTGGGATGAAGGCTGGGGTTGGCTGTGTGGTGAGTGTGGTGTGTGAGGATCTCCGTGAGCACACCATGGCGGAGCACTGGCCCACCGAGATCGGAGGGGAACGTAAACAGAAGAATCACTGTAACTTGTTTCACCAGCTTAGGGTATAAATACCGCCCCTGTCCTTTTAATTTTCCAAGTAATGGTTCAATCTGCTGCATGTCCTGGTGGACAGAAAATCCACCACCCCTCCATCCCAGACAGAGCTTACGGGGGCAGAGAATCAGACCTCTCACAAGGTGCCCAGCAGAGAAAAAGAGACTGGGTGAGTTTGAGCAGTACAGCTGAGGTGAAGCTCAAGAGGCCACCAAGTGGCCCTGTTGAACACTGGCATCGCACGGCCTGGTGGATGGATGTCAGAGACCAGCAAGCTGATGCCTTTGCTAGACTCTGTCCCAGCAAGCCTGCACTGGGGCTACATCCCAAGAGCTGGAGTTTAACTTGCTTGCTCAGCCAACTGTTCCCAAAACATGCCAGGGTGAAAGAGAAAACAAAAAGGCATGCCAGGGTGACTGGTCCCAAGGGGGCTTCCCACCCCAGCCGCATGCTCTGAAGACTCAGGTCTCAGTCAGCAATGCTGAGGGCACTGGGCTACACCTTGTGAGGTCCCCCTGATTAGTGCCCATATTTCTGTGTTGGAATATTGGTCTGTGTCTCTCTGAGCATGTCTGATTCCATGTGTGTCGCTGTGTGAACTTTGTGCCTGTTTCCTCGTCCATACAAGAAGACCTACCTGGCCAGATTGTGGAGAGGCTAACACATAAAGTACTGGAAGGAAGGACTGGCTCAGTGTGTGCTCAGAGAGTGAATATCTGCCAGGAGGTGTGAGGGGGCCAGGGGAGTTCCCGTGTATCCAGAGATATTTTTGCCCTTGAGCACACACATCTGTGTCCGTGTGCGTGTGGGTATTTCTCTGTGTGTGTTAGGTACATGTGTCCTTGTGTGGGTGAGGCAGTGTCTGGGTCCCAGGAGGTCATGTGCATGTGTCTGTGTGCCTGGGCGTCTGTCTGCACAATAGAGAGAGGACCCAGGAGAGAAGGGGTGTGGGAGAAACAGAGCGAGTGCTCTTGAGGACACCACTGAGAAGAGTCTGCCAGTGGTTCTTAATTAACCCCCACGGAACCCTGCAAAGGCCTGGGCTAATCAGCCGCAGGGAGCTGGGCTGGCTTGGTGGGGGTGAGCTTTTCTGAGCCCAACAGTGGCGCTCGATGCTAATTAATTTAATGTATTAATGGCATCCGCTTCCTGTTTTAATTGGCATTTATCTCCCTGGAAGAATAGCTGGGACTGGTGGTGGAATTTGTTGTGTGGTGTTTTTTACCCCCACTAATGCTTCTTAGATTCATTTTAACAAAACCTGAGCCTGAGACCAGTCTGCCTTCAGGTTCCCCTCAAATAGCAGCCTGTCCTACTTTCTGCAGGACCCAGGCGCCATTCCCAACTGCTGGAAGGGCTGTGGGGTGTGGGGCTGGGGGCAGATCTGGAAGAAGGAACCCCCTCCAAATGTAACCTTTGGCTCCAAGGGCCCAGTCTAGCCCCGAGGGTTGCCTGATGCCTGGGATGGGCTGTTCCCCTCGGGTAGGACCTGGCTGGTTTGGAAAGCCTGGCCTTTGCACAACTTGTTCTCTCGTTGAGAAGACCCAGTCTCTGCCACTTCAGCACACAGTTAGCAACTCCTTTTGTTCTTTTCTTAATAAACATTCTCATTGGCGTGGAGCCTACACAAGGAAAAATGTCATAGCATGAGACCTAATTTCCACAACCTGGGTACCGCAGCCTTCCGATGAGCAGATAGGATAGTCCCAGCCTCCTGGCAAGAGCTCTCCTTCCAGGGTCCGTCAACTACTCCCGGGGCCAACCACCAGCCTGACTCCCGCCACCACAGTGGCTTCTATTGCTCTGTGTTATCGGAAGAGTCGTCCATGCTGTGTCGTGGATATCTGTGGATTCCCCCTTTTCTTTGCTGTGTAGTAGTCTGCAGTGTGACTATACTTGATTTGTCCATTCTCCTGTTGAGAGGCATTTGGGTGCTTTCGGTTTGGGCTGTGACAGAGGGTGGCTGTGACCACATTTCTCTTGGGCATATAGCAAGCAGAGGAGTTGCTGGGAGGCTGGTCAGCATTAGGCCATTACTCCAAGCAATCTTCCAAATCACTGGTTTATTCTTGAGCTGCATCGCAGTTTAAACATGGATGTCTCTCCAGCAAAACTTCCCTTCCTCTGGAGTGAATGGCTGGGAGAGCAGAGCCAACTGGAGGCTGATGAGAAGGCCTGAGATTCTGTGGAGCTGAGCCCTGGGGGGTGAGGGGCCCAGATCTGCTGTCCACACCTCAAGTCCTCCAGTTCAAAGTCCACCTCCGCCCCTCAGGACAAGGTGAACTTTGGGCTGTGCTCAGGCCCCCGGCTAGAGGCCGCTCTGGCCTCCAAGGACAGGGAGATCCTGCGGCTGCTGAAGGACATGCAGCACCTCCAGAACTCTCTGCAGGAGCTGGAGGAGAGCTCCGCCAACCAGATCGCAGACCTGGAGCAGCAGCTCACAGCCAAGTCCGAAGCCATAGAGGTGAGCCCTGGGGGAGGGTTCAGTGGGGGCGGGGACCTCAAGAGCCCAGGCAGGCCCTCCCAACCTCACCATCTTTCTCTGCTCTTCCAGAAGCTGGAGGAAAAGCTCCAGGCCCAGTCTGACTATGAAGAAATTAAAACTGAGCTGAGGTACGGTGCAGAGGGGGCTCCCCTGGCAGGGGGGCTGCCAGGCAAGACAGGGAGGGCCTGGAGCTCTCACCGTCCTGCAGCTGTTACCCATGGGCATCCTTGGCCTTAGCTCACCGTCCCTGGCCCTCTTCCCTCCAGAGCTGTCTGTCAGAGCCTGTGAGGTGGCCGTCTTGCTGGACCTCTGGGGTTCAGACCTGGGGACAAGCACTCATCACACAAGCTAAATCCAGCAAGAATGGAAGCTGGTCCACCAGCATCCCTCCCACGACCGCTAACCCCTCATTCTCCATCTCCTAGGTCCGACAACAAAATACCAGAGTCGGGGGTTTTCTCATCCCAGAAACTGAGAGTCCAAACCCAGGGAGTTGGCAGAGCCGTTCCCTCTGCCAGTCTCTGCCCCGCTGTCTCTTTGCCGACTTGGTTCTTTCCAAGTGAGCAGCCCTGAGCAACTCCTTGGTTTCCAGAAGCTTCCCCATCCCACATCCAGACTTGCCCCATGGGGCCCTGTTTCCATGTCTGCCCTTCTCTTTTCTGAGACCCCACCCAGAGGAGATAGGGTTTGGGACCTGCCCTGCTCTGGCCTGACCTCCCTGTCTGAGAACGCCCACCAAGACAAGAGCCATTTCCCCATACATGGTCCCATTCCCGCTGCAATGTGGCTCCTTTAGGGGGATGCAAGTCGACCCACAGCCCCCTGTAACAAACCTGTGACTTCATTAAGGTTGGCTGTCACATGGGAGTCTGGTGACATAGGAGTAGGCAATGGGGACAGTGGTTCTCAGGCAGGCAGGTAGAATGCATCATGCCAAGCGTCTGAGCCCCGCGGGGGCCCGCTGACCTCCAGCGCTTTGTCCACAGCATCCTGAAAGCAATGAAGCTGGCCTCCAGCCACTGCAGCCTCCCGCAGGTAAGTGCCCCCCACCAAGGGCCCTGGCGGGCGGGCTGCCAGAGCTTTCTGCCGGCTGTGTGCTCACTCCAGGGGGCCACCTGTCTCCGCAGGGCCTGGCCAAGCCAGAGGACTCCCTGCTCATGGCCAAGGAGGCCTTCTTCCCCGCCCAGAAGTTCCTGCTGGAGAAGCCCGCCCTCCTGACCAGCCCTGGTAGGTGTGGGGAGCCCCCTGTGAGGGTTGGGGTCAGAGCCTCCTTCGCAGCAAGCCCAGTGCTGTCCCAGGTACCGGCTGTGTCTCAGGCAGCAGGTGCCTTCCCCTCTGCCCCCCACGGGGGCTCCACACACCAAGTCTCAGTGAACTTTACTCGGTGCTGGGAGTGGGGAGCAGAGATGTCACAGGGTCCAGTGAGGGAGCCTCTGTATCGCCCCTCCCTGCTCAGTAGACCTCTGGGAAGGGCCAGCAGACCCCTCTCTGTTCTGAGGCCCTGGAGGCAGGTCTCTGGCCTCCTGTTCCTTTGGCTGAGCAGGGTGGGAGCAGGCCTGCATATTGCCACTGCCCCACCCCTTGCTGGCACCTAGCAAGTACTCCAATGGTCATGCTGATGGGGACCAGGGCTCTTGTGATGGCCCTCAGAGGGAGGGGCTCTGAGAAGTGGCTGTGAGCCAGCCTGAAGGAAAGGCCTGGAGTCCAGGAAGGGCCAGTCAGAGACAGCCTGCATCTGCTCACCCAACGCACCCCTGTCTTCCCACCCGCCTCTTCCTCTCCTTCTCTCTGTGCTGCCCCACCCGCCTCGTCTCTCGCTTTCATTCTTTCCCTTCTCTCTCCATTTCTGACTGTCTCTGTCTCTTGTCTCCTCCCCATCTCTCTCTTTGTTTATCTCTCGTTTGTCTCCTACTCACTCCCTGTCTCTTTCTCTTCCTGGCTCGCTCTCTCTCTCCCTGTCTCTCTCACTCACCCTTTCTCACATCTCTCTCACTCACCCTCTCATCTCACTCACTGTCTCTGTTGTCCCCTCACCCCGCCTGTCCCTCACCGGCCCATCTAGAGGAGGACCCTTCGGAGGACGATTCCATCAAGGACTCACTAGGCACGGAACAGCCCTATCCCTCCCCTCAGCAGATCCCGCCGCCACTGGGGCCAGAAGATCCTCTGTCCCCCAGCCCCGGGCAGCCCCTGCTGGGCCCCAGCCTGGGCCCCGAAGGACCGCGAACTTTCTCCCTGTCGCCTTTCCCCAGCCTGGGGGCCGGGGAACGCCTGGTGGGAGACACGCTGCTCCCCAAGCACCTGGTGCCCCAGGCCACCTTCAAGGGAGAGGCGGGTGGCCTGCTGCTGTTCCCCCCGGCCTTCTACAGCACCAAACCCCCCGCTGCCCCCACCACGCCTGGCCCGGGCCCCGATCCACCAGGGGCCCCCGAGTCAGCCGAGGGCGGCGGAGGCCCGGCAGTGGCCTCAGCGGGGACGGAGGAGGAGCAGCTGGACACGGCCGAGATCGCCTTCCAGGTGAAGGAGCAGCTGCTCAAGCACAACATTGGGCAGCGGGTGTTCGGCCACTACGTGCTGGGGCTGTCCCAGGGCTCGGTCAGCGAGATCCTGGCCCGGCCCAAGCCCTGGCGCAAGCTGACCGTGAAGGGCAAGGAGCCCTTCGTCAAGATGAAGCAGTTCCTGTCGGACGAGCAGAACGTGCTGGCCCTGCGGACCATCCAGGTGCGGCAGCGAGGTAGGCTCGTCCCAGCCGGCCTGGGGCCCAGCGAGCTGAGCACGTATGCGCGTGCTGCTCTGGGCTTGTTTCCCCTCCCTCCGGGGCCTCCACCTTGCCTCTGCACCGCAGGCTGTTGTTGGGGCAACTCAGGCCCCCCGCTATGCCTGGGCACCGCTGAGCCTTAGTATACCCTTCATAAGATGGCCTGAGCGACCACCTACACAGCCAGGCTGGGTTTCCAAAGGGACCCCTGGCCGAGGCCCTGACTCCCACTCGAAGGACCTCAAGTACCTGATGTGTGCATCCCCGTGCCTGCGTGTCCCCTGCTGGCCACTCAGGGCTGAGGGTGGTGAGTCCTGACTCGCAGTAACTGCTCCTGGGGCTCACCAGGCTGCCGCCAGTGTCACTGGTTCCCCGAGCCACAGCCTCAGTGCAGGTCAGTTCTTTGTCACTCAGACTAGGTGCACACACACACACACACACACACACACACACACGCACGCACGCACGCACATCCACTGCCCACTCCTCTCTCTAGGACCCCCTCAGAACAGGGAACAGACCCCCACCCCAACTGCTTTCTCGCCTCCCCCAGGCAGCATCACACCGAGAATCCGCACACCTGAGACAGGCTCTGATGACGCCATCAAGAGCATCCTGGAGCAGGCTAAGAAAGAGATCGAGTCGCAGAAGGGGGGTGAGTAGCCTGGGTGGGGCCTCATCTACCTTTGTCCACCGCAGGAAGGCCCTGGTCAGATCTGCTCCCCTCCCAGCCTGGGGAGCTGTAGAGAAGGAAGAGGCTGGTTCAGCCTCCCCAAAAGGGGAGCCACTAGCTGTCAACCCCAATAAGGAGTTCAAACGAAGGCTTCCGGTTCCTCAGCCTCGCTGTGCACCAGGCTGGAGGCTACTGGGGTAGCATGTTCCAGAAAATTCCCCTTCTCAGAGATCTCCACTGGACAGAGCCAGTCTGGACTATTGCAGCATTCTCAACTTTAACCAGGAGTGTGCTCACCGACGAGTAAGGGTCACACTGGAAAAACTGTCACGCGGGAGTAATGCCCACACAGGAGTGGTAGTCACATAGGAACGATGATCGCATCACAGTAATAGTTACACAGGAGTAGCAGTCACACAGGCAGCTGAGCCTCCCCACACCTGACTGCCAGTCTCTCTGCCCCTCTTGAAGCTCCCACTGTCTGGTTCCCAGGTGGCAACTGTCCTCTCCTGCTCCTCCCACAGCACAACTAGCCGGGGATGCCCATGGCTGCAAGAACAGGTTGCCACCATAGTCTCAGAGCCTCTTACAGCCCGAGATCAGAGGCCCAAAGTCAGCCTCACTATAGCAGTGCAAGTGTGGACAGGGCTGTTGTCCTACAGGCTGCGGGAGAGACTTCTGTGGGCAGAACCTCTAGAGAGAGGTTGCCCACATCACTTGGCTCATGGCTCCTTCCTTAAAGCTGGCAGTCCAGCATTTTGCAACCGTTCTCTATCTCCTCCGCTGCTCCGTGGTCATGTCCCCTTGCCTGCCTTTGAAAAGAGCCCTGGACAAGATGTCTTCAATGGGTTTGCGGGAAACTTCCATTATCTTCCAATCCTATTTTCCCACCTAGGGACATCCACATTTCAAGACCCCTAAAACTTAGTCACTTGTCTGAAGCCCCTTGTGCTCACTGCCTCCATTCTCTCATCTTTAAAATGGTTTATCCTCTCCTGGCTGTGTGAGCATCACTCGAGACCATGCCCATTGAGCCCCTCAGCCCACACCACCACTATTTCTTCTCTGTTGCACATCTGCTGAGGCAGCTATCCCTCCCACTGGCCTGGGGACTTTTTGAAACCCGGGACCCTGTCACATTTCTGCAGCCAGCGCCAGGCCTGAGCTGAGACACTGGGCTTCTGGGCTCCTTCCCTGCTCTCTTCCAGTATCTGCTGCCCCCTGATGGCACCTCTCAGAAAAGGTGTCCCAATACTCAAGCCGCTTCTGTTGATAGTCACTGTTTCCCAGGGAGTTTCTGAAATACTGTACAGCCCTCAACCCCAACCCCCAAATACCTCAGTCCTCCTGCCCTGCTCCCTGGCAGTGGTGGAGGGAGGCTTAAACTGCTTCCCTACCTCATGGAGTCCCTAGGAGCTGGCTGTGTGCAGGCTCTTCTCCCTTCCCAGCCAGCTCCTGTCTGTAGGGACAGAGATACCTGCCCATCTTAATTTTGTTCTAGCATTCCTTTGTATTTGCCATTTTTTTTTTTTTAAGAAGTATTGTTAGGTATTTGTGCCTATTATAGAGTGTGTCATCTTCTGGGACTTGCTTTAGGCAGTCAGTGTGCAGTTATGAAGATTGACATGCGGTTTCATGCAAGACTTCCCTTTTCGCTTCAGTGTCATATTCCATTGTGTGCCTGTGCCACTGTTTATCTCATCCAAGCCTTGACTTTCTGATTAGAATGGATGACCGAGCATTTTTTATTATGGTATAGATAAAAAACGCACCTTAAAAAAAAACTGAAAAAATACCTTTTTATTGTGAATTAGGTGAAGATTTACATACAAGGCAGATCATAATTTTATCATAATTCATACACACTGTGATTTAACTCATTCATTACAATCCCCTCCCTGTACCGCTTATTCTACTTCCTCCCTGTATTTCCTGTTTGGTTATAAACCTGAAGTGTTAAGGCCAACCCCTCAGGACCCATATTGAGAGTAGCGATACGAGGAGGGGAAGGGGAAGGTGGGGAGAGAAAGGGGGAACCGATCACGATGATCTACATATAATCCCCTCCCAGGGGGATGGACAACAGAAACGTGGGTGAAGGGAGACTTTGGTCAGTGTAAGACCATAAAAAATAATAATAATTTATAAATTATCAAGGGTTCATGAGGGAAGGAGGGAGGTGGAGAAGGGAGGAGAAAATATGAGCTGATACCAAGGGCTCAAGTAGAAAGGAAATGTTTTGAAACTGATGATGGCAACAAATGTACAAATGTGCTTGATACAATGGATGAGTGTATGGATTGTGATAAGAGTTTTACGAGCCCTCAATAAAATTTTTAACACTTGTTTTTAATGTGTTAAGGCCATAGACTTGGGGGCCCCACCAATCTCTATCTGATCAGCAAGTCTGTTCTCTTTTATGATTTTGAGTTCCATTCCATGTTTCTCCTACTCTACCTAGGACCTTCTAATGCAGTGGTTCTCAACCTTCCTAATGCCTCGACCCTTTCATACAGTTCCTCATGTTGTGGTGACCCCCCAACCAAAAATTTTATTTTCGTTGCTACTTCATCACTGTAATTTTGCTGTTGTTATGAATCGGGTAACCCTGTGAAAGGGTCGTTTGACCCCCCAAAAGGTTCGCGACACCCAGTTTGATAACCGCTATTCTAATGGGATCCCTTTTAGAGCAGTTGGTAGTGGTAGTCGGGAACCATCTAGTGTGTCTGTTGTCAGGGTTGTGGAGACTGTTTGTGTGACGCAGTAGCCCTTTGGACTAATAGTTTCCACTTGTCTTTCAGTTTGGGTTACTCTTCTTACCTCGGAATAGTGAGAGACCAATAGATGCACCTTGATGGCTGTTTGCCAGCTTTTAAGGCCCCCGCTGCTTCTTACAAGACATTCTTTGTAAACACTACGTGTGTTCTCCACGTCTGCTGAACTCACTGTCAGCTCAACTTTTAAAGGTTGCCTGATCGATCATCTGCCATGTAGTTAGATGATCTGTTCCTGAACCAGTCCATATGGACGGACACAGAGGCTGCCTGAGATGTGTCACTAATACAAATAAGACTGTGAGCAACGTCTTACCTCATGCTCTGATCTGACAATGACCCGGCCTCTTTCTTGTCCTCCCCCAGGTGAGCCCAAAAACGCGGTGGTCCCATTGAGCATTGCCAATGGCACAACTTCTGCCAGCACCTCAGAAGATGCCATCAAGAATATTCTGGAACAAGCTCGCCGCGAGATGCAAGCACAGCAGCAGGCCCTGCTAGAGATCGAGACTGGTCCTCGGGGCCACTTGGTGCCCACCTCATCCCCAGAGCGGCCCTCGCTGACTGCCTTGAGCCAGAATGGAGCTCCAGCCTACGTCAAGCAGGAGGAGGCTGGCGGTGGCAGTGGCGGGGGCAGCAGCAGTGGGACAAGCAGCAGCGCCACACAGACATCCCTCACGGTCCTGTCCCCTGCCGCCTTCGTGCAGAGCATCATCCGGAAGGTCAAGTCTGAGATCGGAGATGCTGGCTACTTCGACCACCACTGGGCCTCAGACCGCGGCCTGCTCAGCCGCCCCTATGCCTCTGTCTCGCCCTCCCTCTCCTCCTCCTCCTCCAGCTACTCTGGCCAGCCCAACGGACGGGCCTGGCCCCGAGGGGAAGAGGCGCCCACAGCCCCTGAGGACGAAGCGGCTGGGGGCGAGGACGAGCTCCCCAGGGTGGGCGAGCTGAAGGCTGAGGGGGGTGTCCCCGAGGTGGGAAGTGGCGGGCGACTGGCCTACTACCCGACATATGTCCCCCGCACCCTGAAGCCCACCGTGCCGCCTCTGACCCCCGAGCAGTATGAGCTCTACATGTACCGAGAGGTGGACACGCTGGAGCTGACGCGCCAGGTCAAGGAGAAGCTTGCCAAGAATGGAATCTGCCAAAGGATCTTCGGGGAGAAGGTAAGTTGGAGGTGGGGGGTGGCTGGAGGGCACTTTGTCCAGGAGAGCTGGGCTCTGAGAGCAGGGTGAGAGTGTGGACGGGCAAAAGCAGGATCCAAACCCAAGCCTGAGTCAGGCACAAAAACTTACTTCCCTGCTCCTTGCTGTCTGAGCAGCACTGCAAAATGCTTCCACGGGTTTCCTAAATAGTGCTCACCTCCCTCCCTCCCTCCGTGTCTTCTAAGCCCCACCCCAGGCTGAGCCAGCAGAGAGTGAGGGCCACTAACCCTTAACATGATATCACTCAGGGTCCACCCCCCACCCCCAGGGTTAAAGGCTGGGGACCCTACAGCTCTTGTTAAGTAGTTCCTACATCATTCTCACAGACAAAGGACCAGTCAGCCACCCCAGATGGACCAGTGACTTCAAGGGAGGCCATGGAAGGCTGCAGTATTTGGGGGAGCAGAGCAGGCTTTGGGGACGTAGACACCAGGCAGGACTTGACACAATTGGCAATGCAAGGACCTGGGACACACAGGACAGAGGAAACCGTCCTGGGCCGTCCTGGACCCTATGCGTCTGGAGGGCCTGGGCAGTTAGTGTCCCAGGGGTCTGCAGACCTAGCCCTTATGCCCAGACCCTCCACAGGTGCTGGGCCTGTCGCAGGGCAGCGTGAGCGACATGCTGTCCCGCCCGAAGCCGTGGAGCAAGCTGACGCAGAAGGGGCGAGAGCCCTTCATCCGCATGCAGTTGTGGCTCTCTGACCAACTAGGCCAGGCTGCAGCCCCAGCCAACGCGGCCCAGGGTGAGTGCGCCAGCCCCTCTGCTCCCTGCTCCCCAAAATCCTGCTGCCAGCTTCGAAATCTGGACCACCCCCTCTCCCCATCACCAGGACCGGGTGGAGCCGCCAGGGGGCGCTAGAGCGCCCGTCTCACCCTGCAGCCTCTCTGGGACCCAGAGCTTGGGAGTTGGGGGCTCTGATGGGACGACAGCACCGAGGGGTTGGGACACCCCAGCATCTCCGCCTTCAGGGCCTGTCTGTGAGGTTGGGGGAGGGTGGGCATGGGCGCATGGGGCTCACGGACCTCAGGCTGACCGAAGGAGCCAGGTGGACACGTGGCGGCAGAAGGGCCATCACGCTGGTGCTGTGTGATTCCAGAGGTTTAAGTACATCGTCCTGCAGGTCACCTCCGTGTTAGTCCCCCAGACATGCCCAAGGCCACCAGGGCCCTCCAAAGAGGGGGATTTGGCCGAATCTGTGCCTTTTCATTATTTCTTTTCTTTTCTTTTTTGAGTTTTATTGGCATTTTACCCACATATATCCTTTTCATTTTTTCTTTAAAACAGAGCTGGAGCGCTCACTTCTGTTCCATCTGTAGAGGCCTTGGGGCACTGGGGGCTAAGGCCTTCTTTCCCATATACTTCTCTATGGAGTAGTTTGTAATTTAATAGTAGTCTTTGGAATAGTTCATAACGTAATGTTTTCGTTTTTTAAAAACTCAGCCCCATAAGATAGTTGTTGAGAGTTAAAGGCAGCTGCTGTAATTACCCTGATGGCACAGTGGGTTAAGTGCTTGGTTACAAGCCTATGCCAGTAGTTCAAACCCAGCCCCTGCGTGGGAGAGAGGTGAAGCAGTCAGCTCCCATAAAGAGTTACAGCCTTGGGAACCCCTGGGGCACTTCTACTGTGTCTCCTCAGGTTGCTATGGGTGGGTTTGGTTTGGGGGGTTGATTCCAATGGTGGCTGCCTTGGCAGTGACCCTCTCTGTGCCTGGCCAAGTGCTTGAAGGGCTAGAGGGCTCCTCTCCACTTGCTCCTGCCATCTTGGGGTGGGGGGATTTGAGACAGGTGGGTAGAAGTCAGCAGAGCAGGTTGGGGACAGTGCTCCCCGGGGGAGCGGAGGGGAGGGCAGCGCACAGATGTGTCACCAGTTTGGGAAGGAATATGGGGTGGAGGTGACCAGGACTCTGAAAGCAGGGGCCAGGTGAGAGGAGAGGACTGCAGCTGTGGGGTGACCCACTAGACCCAGAGTCAGGTCAGGCGGGCCGAAGGAGACTGGGCAGACATCCTCCACAGTCTGGCCAGTGAGGGTGGCCCCACACACATACGTTGGCTGGTCAGGGACCCATGCCAGGTCCCTGCCATCAGAGTGTCAGGGTGAGCCAGGACCCCTAACCAGCTTGCCTGCCACTGACCCCAGGTAACTAGCAATGCACACCAAGGCCCACCAGTATTCCAGGTACTTCTGTCTAAACCTGCTCCCAGCTCCGTCCTCTCCTCATTCATCCTCTTTCCACCCATCCTCTCCCCTCCCCTCTGCTCCCCTCCCCCTCTCCTTCCCCACCTCTGCTTCTCTCCCTCTCAGCCTCTCTCCCCCGTCTTTGGTGTGAAGTATCTCTTTGGCCCCCTCTCTCTCCCTCACTGCCTGTCTCCTTCCAGCTCTCTCTGGGTGGGCTGGGTCTGAGGGTCTCCCATGTCAGGACTCTCAGTGTGCAATCGGAGAAATCCTAGGCAAACCAGATGAGGTCACCTGCTCTCTCATCTTCTCCCCCGACCCCCTGCCCACACCCCTCCAGCGTCCATGCCCAGCCCTTCCTGAGTGCAGTCCTCCGGGCACAGCTGACCCCTTGAGCTGCCAGACATTGAGTCCAAAGCCATCCTCAAAGTCTGAAGAGCCGATAAGGCTGGCATGCTGGTTGGGTGGGCAGGATGGGACAGAGGGAGGTTGCTATCACTAATCATCTGGAGGCCCTCCTTCCAGTGATGTGGGCACAGACAATTATCCCAGGAGCAGATGACTTCAGAGACCCTCAAGCCCCCTCCGGCTAATGCCTGGCCCCTCTCAGGGTAGACGCTCCATTGGACTATCCACGGATAGTCTTCTGAGGTCAGCCATCAGGCCTTCTTCCTTCTGCAGTATCTTGTGGTTAGCAGTCACACACATTAACCATTTGTACCTACCAACCAGCTCCAAAAAACTTTCACCGAATCGATTTGGACTCACTGCAACCCTATAGGACAGGGTAGAATTGCCCTTATGGGTTTCCGAGACCGGAGCTCTTTACAGGAGTAGAAAACCTCATCTTTCTCCCATGGAGTGGTTGGTGGCTTCAAACTGCTGACCTTGCAGTTGACAGCCCAACATATGTTTATCTGCCTCCAAGACTCCTCTGACCACCCAGTGCTCAGTAAAAGGAAACTGTATTAATTATAATTCTCATCATCTTCATCACAGTTGCCATCACTTGGTAAAGGGGACCTGGCCCGAATGAGAAATTGCAGTAAAATGTAAGAGTGTGTGGACAAGGGGCTATTAAACCCCAAAGGGGTATACTTCAGGAAAAGGCATTTGGGACTGGATCTTGAAGGATGCATAAGGGTTTAACGTTAGGAGGAAGGCCTTCAAGGCAGCCAGTACACTGGTAGAGCGAGACCTGTGCGTAGCAGCTCCAGGTCTGTCAGGTGGGGAGGCATGAGTTCACCAGGGCTTTCCTCATTCAAGCGGGCAGCAAGGGGCCACTGAAAATTCTGGAGCCCCAGAGCGATCTACTCAGTGTGGGCCCACTTGACTTCCACAAGGAGAGGAGAACTCATCCAGAGCAGAGGCTTGCCGTGTCCCTCTAAAACCACAGTCCTTGCTGTGGTTCTGGGGCTCCTTCCACCCCGATTGTCCTTGTTTGAAGCGTGTTACAGCGAATTGCCAGCAGGTTGGCAGTGGCGTGCTTGGAGGAAGAGGCACCATCATCTAATTTGCTGAAAGGTATGGTCTGGGCAGTGCTCAGATTCCCTGCCAGGCTTCCCAACCATGTGGGGCCCTCCTCCACGAACTATCAGGGGCTCTGCTCATGCTGGAGGTCATTGGATGACTCTGGACACCTCAGGAGGTGCCGCTTCAATCTGCTGACTGAGCACGTGGCTGTCTGATGAAATCCACCCATTGGCCGAACGGTGGGTGTTTGCACCGCTGGTCCCACTTACTAGATGCTCAGGTTGAGGCTTGGAGGACCACAGGTGTTGGCAACCAAGTAGCTCCATGGCCTGCTTCCCACTTGTGGAATCCCAAGAGGCAGGCAGCTCTTCTTTATTTTGTCCTGTTTCTGCCTCTGTCCAAGCGGAAGGGATTCCTGCTGATTGGCTCCATCTGTTGATAGCTTCAATGGGCCTGGTTTCTGCAGCAAAAGGTTGTGTAGGGCCCTTGGACATGTCTCTTGAGTTTACACAGCAGAATTTCCCAAGTCTTTAAGTTCTGAATTCATTTACACCATGTCTCTCTTCCCTCCCATGTTCAGTGTAAGGAGCAAGGAGAAGCTGTTGTGTCTCTAAGATTTTGTTCTGTGTGTTAGTCTAGATTGACTAGAGAAACAAATTCATAGGCACTCATATGTGTATATGAAAGGGCTTTATATGCAAGAGCAGTTGAATATTGAGAAAACATCCCAGCCCAGTCCAGATCAAGTCTATATGTCCAATACCAATCTATAAATTCTTCTTCGGACTCACGGGACACATGCAATGACGCTGAATGCAGGAAGATTGCAGGCCCAGTGAGTGGAAAGTCTTGTGGATCCAGTGGTGGTAGAGGCATCTCAGTGCTGGCAGGGGTCTCCACCTGGCTCCTTCAGCTCCAGGACTCTAGTATAGCTCCACGTGTCTTCTCCACAAGAATGTCTTGCAGAGAGTAAGTGTGTGTACCGCCTCCAGTGAGCTATTTATCTCCTTAGCACCTCCAAATGAGGTCATCAAGCTACACCCTGATCGACAGGCTAGACTCCACCCCTCCACTCTTAAGTCTCAAACTGACAGCAGATTATGTAGCTACCACACTCTGGAAATCTCCTCAGTGTGCTATTCAGTCCATCACAAAAAGTTCTACTTTCCACCAGACATTTCCACCAGCACTGCCTTCCCTACAGTATCCAATCATATGTGTATCGTGTCCTTCTGGAGCCTATTTCTAACTCTGCCCCCTTCCTGGCAGGAAAAGCATTTGAGACAGCACTCACTTCTTTCTAAGCCTGGAGGCACCCTGAATGCCCATAGCTCTAGCAACAGTCTCTTCAAGGCATCTTACTCTGAAGCACTGCAAAAGTTCCCCAAGAGTCTAGCCATCACCCAGTTCCAAAACCAGACCCACACGTTAGGTGGTTGTTAGAGCAGCAGCCCGCTTCTCTGACCAACCTCTGGGCCAGTTCCTGGGTGCTGCTGCTGTAGCAGAAATACCATCTCCGACCCTAGGCCAGCTTGCTCACCTGCTCCCTTAAGTAGGTTCCATGCTCTTGGTGTGAGGATCACAGGAGCGACACGATGTCCTTCTCAGCAGGCACGGACTGTCGCCCGATGTATGGGCGTTGTGCATGGGGCTCAGCCAGCGAAAATGCTGTCTGCCTGTTCCCGCTGCGACACAGTCACCATAATTAGTAATTGTCTTCTTCTAGTTGGAAGACGCTTGGAGACTGTGCAGGTGCCCTGCTCCTCATCAAAGTCTCCTCCTTGCTCGTACAACCATGACAATTCCTAGCTGAGATACATACTTTTTTAGGTTTTATTGCTCTCATTGCTGCTGAGAACATCTCCAGCAGACCATGTGGCAGCTCAGCTGCCCCTGTGCGTGCGCTTCAGTGACATGATTCCATCCCCCATTCCTGAGTCGGCCCTTTCCCCTTAGCGTAAGCCCTCCCCCCACCCCAGCTTTCTGTCTCATCTTTCTAGATGCCGTGGTCTGTTTGGCCCTGCAGAAGTGGTTCTCACAAGACCCCCGTGCTCAAATCCTGTCTGAGATGTTACTATGGCGATTGCAAAGTGGGCTATCGCCAACTCTTGGCTCCCCCGCCTAAGCCTGCTGGCCCTATGTAGGTCTGTCTGAGCCAAATGGGAGTAACTGCCCTCTCTTGTCTCTTTGTGGCCCACAGCCAGTCCCACTGAGCCAAGGTCCTCACCATCCCCGCCCCCTAGCCCCATGGAGCCCGAGAAGAACTCCCAGGAGCCCCTGAGCCTGTCCCTGGAGAGCAGCAAGGAGAACCAGCAGCCGGAGGGCCGCTCTAGCTCCTCACTGGCTGGGAAGACGTCCTTGGGCAGCACTGGCGGCATCCAGGAGATTGTGGCCATGTCCCCCGAACTGGACACGTACTCCATCACAAAGCGGGTTAAGGAGGTCCTCACGGACAACAACCTAGGTACGGATGTCAGGCTCCGCCACTCCACGTCCCACCTGCCAGCTCCAGGAGCACCTGTGCGGCATCTGAATCTAACTGGAATCCTGGGGTGGCAAAGAAAGGGGAAGGGGCACACCAGAGGTGGCCCCAAGTCTGAGATGACCTCCAACCCTCTGCCTAGCTTTCAGGCTTTCCTTGGGAGCGGCGGGGCTTAGAGAGCCCCAGTGACCGAAGTTCCCCCTGGGTGCTAAGAACCTTTCCCTGCTTGGAGTCCACACTCCTCTGAGCCTGGAGCACAGGAGGTAGCCCGACAGCCCCAATGCCTTCACTGGCCTTCTTGTATCACAGTCTGTACGATGTGGTTACCGTTTAAAACCATGAAACTATATGGCGGAGGCAGGGTGGGGTTGGGGAGGTGGTGGTGGCCGTCAACAGATAAAATCTACTCCCCATTTCCACACGCCATCGTTTTAAGTGGCTTTCATACCTTCCGAATAAGTACGAGAACACATTCGCACCTGGCCTTTCCCCTTTATAAACAGAAAGGCGGCCTGGTAGCACAGTGGGTAAGCACTTGCCCCGCTAGCCGAGAGATCTTTGATTCAGACCCACCAGCCACAGCACAGGAGGAAGACGTAGCTGTCTGCTCCCATGAAGAGCCCCAGGCTTGGAAACCCTATGGGGGCAGTTCTACTGTGTCCTACAGGGTCGCTCACTGCGAGTCGGATCCGCCTGGGGAGGGTGGGTTTAGTTAATAGAAGGGTGTGCACATGCTCATCGCAACTCAGACGTCCTGCCATGGTGGGATGGAGGCTCACCTTTGTCCGCTTCCCGGCTGCTCCAGGATATGGATGCACTTCAGCTTTGGGCCCAGCTGAGGGGCCTGCTGGCTGTCCCTGGTTCCCCACTGCCTCTGACAGCGTGCCTGTCTTCCTCTGTGGCCCTGGGCCAGCACACTGGTGCCAAGGGGATGGGCAGGTACACTGTGCTGGGCTCTGCCCCATTACCCTCCATTCAGGTGAGACCCAGGCATACACCTGACCTCTAGCCAGTTTCCACAGCCTCTGTTCTTGTGCCCCGGGAGGGAAGAACCTCTTAGAGTGAACATGTGTTTTGGGTGGTGGTCTTCTGACTTGCCCCCAAAACCACCTCTTCTGCACACAGGTCCCCTTCAGAGTCATGTGGGACCTGGGTCCTCGTGTCTCTGGCCCTTCCTCTGGGTCAGCAGGGATGAGACCCAGGGCTTCTGGGGTGACTCCACCCAGCCCGGGATAACAGGCTGCCCGCCTCCCCTGTCCCCAGGGCAGCGGCTTTTTGGAGAGAGTATCCTGGGCCTGACCCAGGGCTCTGTGTCTGACCTGCTGTCCCGGCCCAAACCCTGGCATAAGCTGAGCCTGAAGGGCCGGGAGCCCTTCGTCCGCATGCAGCTGTGGCTTAATGACCCGAACAACGTGGACAAGTTGCGGGACATGAAGAAGCTGGAGAAGAAGGGTGAGCCTGGGTGGGGGTGGTCCCCGGCACTGGGCATCTGGCCTTCCATTTGCCTGCTGGAAGCAAATCCAGTTTAAGCAGTCAACCCCGGGCCCCAGGGATCTGGGCTGAGCCCGGGTGTGTTTTCCCCCTGCCCCCAAAGTCTGTTCTAGGATCAGGTGGCACTCCTGATGATCAGAGGGTTCTGTGATGGCAGCCAGTTCTGAGCGCCTCTGCAGGGGGCGCCCTGCACACATACTGCATTTGTTCACAGCAGTCCCACTACACTGGCAGGCCAGGCAGGGCCAGACGCCCAGCAGAGGAATGCCCAGGAAGATGGGGGAAGAACTGAAGGCAGAAGGGACAAGATTATGGGGATGGGCCCCCAGTTTGGCCCTGGGTATGGGGTTCTGAGAGGAGTTGGATGATGAGGGGCTCAGCCCCTGTGACCACACCCACCCGCTTTGTGGCCCCTGCTCCCCTGGGGACCCAAAGGGGTGCAACCCTGGGCCTCTGGTCAGAGGGTCCCACTCAGATTAGCCCACCCTTACTTCCCCACCCCAGCCTACCTGAAGCGCAGGTACGGGCTCATCAGCGCGGGCTCCGACAGTGAGTCCCCAGCCACACGCTCCGAGTGCCCCAGCCCCTGCCTGCAGCCCCAGGACCTGAGCCTCCTGCAGATCAAGAAGCCGCGTGTGGTGCTGGCGCCTGAGGAGAAGGAGGCGCTGCGGAAGGCCTACCAGCTGGAGCCCTACCCCTCTCAGCAGACAATCGAGCTTCTCTCCTTCCAGCTCAACCTCAAGACCAACACCGTCATCAACTGGTTCCACAACTACAGGTGGGGGCCGGGCAGGGCTGGGGGCCGCGGGCAGGCCGCTTCAGAGTACCTTCAGGCAGCTGGCTCTGTGGGGCTTCTCATGGCTGTGCTCGGAGGATTTGTTGGGCCAGTGTTTTCACTACCTGGAATATAGTGAGTGGTAGGTGTGGATGCCATTCCTGTTATTTCTGTCTGACCCAGTGTGCCCTGTTTCTGCCTCTAAGACGGCAGGGGTGACAGTGTTGGGAGCCCAGACCTCACTACCCACAGAGCTCGAGGTGAAAATTCCCAGGGCACCCTCTCAGATGCCCACACCTTGGAGAGTGAGCCTGATTCCTCTGGCCATGGAAGCCGCCCCCCCTCCCCCCTCCTTCCTCTCCCTGCTCCGGCCTCCAGGAGCCGCACTTCCCTGGTCAGGTGGGGATGAGGGGCGGGCAAGTGGTGCCTGAGGGGTCCACTGAAGGCCACTGGGAGTAGAATTGCCTTTTACCTCTCCAGCCTTCCTGGGTTATTCGGCAATCAGTTAAGAGGGTCCAACCCATCCGGGTCTTTCCTGCTCTGGAATGTAATCGGAGAGTCTCATCTCCCCCTTGACAGCAGGGAGGTCACTGAAGGGACAGGAGAATGAGTTCTGGTGGAATTCAGCTTTGTCCTTGTGTGTCACAGTGACCTGGGCCAGTCCCTCCCGTGGCCTCAGTGTCCCCGTTCTAGGCTGATGTTGAAAGCAGTGGAGACTTGCTGTCGCATGAGTCTGATTGTGACTTAGAGGAAGGTTCAGGGACAGTGCTGTGCAAGAGAAATAGGAGCCAATGAGGTCATGGACCCTTTTTTTCCCAGTAGCCACCTTAAAAAAGTAAAAAGGAACAGAGCAAGTGAACTGTCATGTGCATATCTCAAACACTGTCCTTTAAGTATAGGATTTATAGAAAAACATCAATGGCACATGACTTGGAGCAAATTCGAAGCCTACCAAATACAGTGTGTTTTACCCTTACAACACAAATCAGTGTGGATTACACCCGTTTAACGTGCTCACGAGCCACGAGTGGCCAGTAGTACCTGTACTAGATGGATCATGAGCTTTGGGACCCAGAGGTCTTAGGTTCAAATCCCAGCTCAGCCACTTCCTGCCTGTTTGCTCTGTGAGGTGGGGTTGTTGAGAGGTCTTCCCCAAGAAGATACCTGGAAAGAGGAGTAAGCAGGTAGAGAGCCCCACACACACGGGGGAGGAGTCTGTGGTCGGAGCCAGGGCCTGCTGGGACCCTGCCCCACCGCAGGCTCCCGCCTGTCTCTGCCCCAGGTCCCGAATGCGCAGGGAGATGTTGGTGGAGGGGACCCAGGACGAGCCAGACCTCGACCCAAGCGGGGGCTCCGGTGTTCCGCCGCCAGGCCACTCCCACGCAGACCCGACCCCAGAGACCCCTCCCTCCGAAGCTGAGGACCAGAAGCCAACGGTGAAGGAGCTGGAGCTTCGGGAAAGCTCCGAGGGAAACGCCACGCCCCTGACCGCCCAGGACAAGGCCCAAGTGCGGATCAAGCAGGAGCAGACAGAGGAGGACGCGGAGGAAGGGGACGGCAGCCAGTCCCAGGACTTAGGGGAGCCCGACAAGGGCCAGGAGCCCCCTAAAGAGGAGCATCCCGGCCCTCCAGACAGCATTGAACTCCTAAAGGCGGCCCCGGGGCCCCTCCTCCCGGGCGGGGCTAGCACAGACTGCCCCTCCGCGCCTGCTCCTCTGGAGAACCCTGGCCCGGAGCAGCTGCACCCAGACCCGCTCAGCTTTAAGTCGGCCTCGGAGTCCTCACGCTGCAGCCTGGAGGTGTCCCTGAACTCGCCCTCGGCCGCCTCCTCCCCGGGCCTCATGATGTCCGTGTCGCCCGTCCCCTCCTCCTCAGCGCCCATCTCTCCCTCCCCAACCGGAGCCCCCCCTGCCAAAGTGCCGAGTGCCAGCCCCAATGCCGACACAGCCGGGGCCTTGCACCCCAGCGCCAAGGTGAACCCCAACTTGCAGCGGCGGCACGAGAAGATGGCCAACCTGAACAGCATCATCTACCGGCTAGAGAGGGCCGCCAATCGGGAGGAAGCCCTAGAGTGGGAGTTCTGAAGGGCGGGGTGGGGGTGGAGGACAGACCCTCGCGACCACCCTCCGTTTCTCGCTCACCCTCTCAGAGAGGATGGGGCCAAGCTCAAACATCGCAATGCGGACAGCGAAGTTATTCCGTTTACGTGCTTTGGTTGTCACCCACGTTTGACAAGGTTGCGAGGGAGTGGGTGGGGCAGATGCCACTGCCTCCTCTTTTTTGGCACCGCCCCCTCCCCCGCCCCCAGGTGCACCTGGGACCCAGCCCCTCCTCCCCACCCTGGCCTGTCTCGGGGGAACAGAGGCACATTGGCGGCCCATTTTCACCTGAAAGCTCCAAACTCTTTTAGAAAAAAAAAATATTTATAGACCTCTTTTAGCTATTTTAATAAAGGATCCTTTGGAATTTATTCCCAGCCGATGCTGTTTTGATATTGCAGAGAGTTATAAAATCAGGATGCTGTCACAACTGTTGCGAAGTATACACTGAAGTTGTGTTGTTTTTGCCACTAGATGAGATTAAAAGAAGACAATTATTCAAAGCCATCACGGGACACTCTTAAGACTGACCAAAATTTAGATAACCTTTCAACCTTTGAACCATGGATTCCCCTCCCCGACCTCACACCTTGTCTGTGAGACACAGTGCATTGCTACTGCCCTTCCGGAAGCCGTGTGGAAAAGAAAAAAGTCCGAAAGACTCTAAACAAAGACCTCGATCCCGTAGGGGGTGTGCTTCATTGGGGGGTCTGCTTTGCTACCTTGGTAACACAGCATGCCTGTGCCCCTGTCACTGCTGTAGACTTGTGGACTGTGGCTCGGCCACGAAACAGACGTGGCATGGTCCAGAACAAACTGTGTACACTCCCTCCAGTTAGACCCACCCCCACGGGAATCGGGCCACGGGCGTGCCAGAGCAAACCTGTGGCTGCCCCCTTCCCGTCTTGTGCTATAGGAAAGTGACAACGCTTGACATCGCACTGGACAACCTGGGCCACCAGGGCCAAGCGGGTGAACTGCCTAGATGAGAGACCCCTGACTCCCTTTCTTTCTCACGGTCGCATCTCACAAGCTGGCCTGGCTGCTGCTGCTGCTGCTGTTGCTGCTCTGGACATGACCAGGACTCAGAGTCCATGTGGAACCAAGTGAAGGCCAAGTTCATCACAGCACACCCACCAGCCCCCCCCTCCCACCCC